CCAAACCCGCAAATTTACTCAAAAATCGGATGTGTATTCATTTGGTATCATTATGTATCTGATTGCTACTGGTGAACCGCCATTTAGAAATTGGTCGTTTGACAAATGTTTGGCGATACGTGTTTGTGGGGGACTGCGACCGTCGATGCCTGATGCTGCACCAGAGGATTTCAAGAAACTTGCCGAGCAGTGTTGTGATGCTGATCCTGATGAGCGTCCTGATGCAGGAACACTTTACCGGGATATCGTCAATCTTCGTGGAGAGGCGGACAAGTGGTGACAACGTGTGGCATACTATATATCATACTGATGTAACACCTTTATACGTCTCGAGAAAGAGAGTAAATATTCCAGCACACTTGTACGGTTACACGTTGATACAAATAAAGTCAACTTACAATGTTAACATCGTCTTATTGTCTAATAATTTAGCGACACAGACGCTCTTGTAATTCGCGGTTTATGTGCTGTTTTACTCAAGGAGCTCCAGTTAGATATATTAAATGCGTCAACATGACGTACAATGTTTGGATGCTTTAAAGATCCGTACTAGCACCCAAAGACTGCTGAATAAATGTAGTATACCACATTTAACGTCAGATTGGCGAATAATTATAAGTAACTCTCGTAATGTATTAAACCAAAAAATAAAAATTTTAGCTAAAAAATTAATTATAAAACTTATATTCATAAAATAGACCTGGCCTGCTTTCTTCAATGTTATTTAAATTTCTGCCCACTTTTTGTCTCAAAACAATACCAAATTAATTGCCGATTTTATAGTGCGCATGGAACAATGGAAATTTCCAATCAACTTTATACAATAGGCGTTGTTAATTCTTTTACTTGTAAATCATATAACAATAAAAACTCTTTACTAGAAAAATCTATATCGAAAAACGGTACCGGTTCTAAGCGTTTTGAATTACAGCAGTCGACCGTATTGTGTATTAATAGAACTAACAAATATTAAAAACATTTCCCTAACTGTAGTAATTTTCAGAGCTTGTAGTTTATTAGAATTCAGCAAGGATAACACACATAATGTAATAAATTCGTGTCTTTGGTAGCCAAATAAAGCCATCGACCATTTCACTGTAGTAATTCGACTAATACTAAAACATCTGTTATTATTATTAAAATAAAAATAAAACTTGCTTTAGTGGTTATCTGTATTTAGATAATATATCTTAATATTAAACATTCAGCAACCATTTTACCAAATCGCCATTTACAAATTCTATACAAAATTGGCTCATCACTGGTATAATGACAAGCATACTAATACAGTTAGTTACAATACAATTCGTCATATACATCAAGGACTACTTTAAGCATCTCCCTTATATTTTCTAACCAATTTTTGTAAAAATATATATCTTTTCTATTACTATGTCCTTTTCAGTTGTTCTTTCATATACATACATAACTCAAGTGTTTTTTAATACATGCTTCTCCTTTAATTCGCTTTCATATCAAGCATATATTTGCAAATAAGAATAAAAACTTTCTTTTCTAATCTCAAATTGACACAAGTTACATAATAATAACTGATATCAAAATCTTTGTATAATAATAATAACTAATAAGAATCTACGTTCACTCAATGGGTATGTTTTACATTCTGATACTATTATGGTTTTTCATCCTTTTCTATTTGCAAGATAGGTGAGCAATACCCCTCTCTGTCCAGCTGTCTTTTTACTAATTTGTGCCTGTCTTTCTCTAAGAAGATTTTGAGCCTTAGCATATCCTTGTTCAGCTGCCTTTTTATACCATTCAATTGCCTTTTGTTCATCTTTTTCTACTCCAGTTCCATTAGCATAACAAATAGCAAGACAATATTGTGCTTCAGCACGCCCTTGTTCAGCTGCTTTTTTGAACAATTCAACTGCCTTTTGTTCATCTTTTTCTACTCCAATTCCATGTCCATAACACAAACCAAGATTACATTGTGCTCGAGCATCTCCTTGTTCAGCTGCTTTTTTGAACAATTCAACTGCCTTTTGTTCATCTTTTTCTACTCCAATTCCATGTCCGTAATAGTAACACAAACCAAGATTACATTGTGCTTGAGCATCTCCTTGTTCAGCAGCTCTTTGATACCATTCAACTGCCTTTTGTTCATCTTTTTCTACTCCAGTTCCAAGTCTATAACACACACCAAGATTAAATTGTGCATTACTGTATCCTTGTTCAGCAGCTTTTTGATACCATTCAACTGCCTTTTGCTCATCTTTTTCTACTCCACTTCCATTTGCATAAAACACACCAAGACTAAATTGTGCAGCAGCATTGCCTTGTTCAGCTGCTTGATGGTATAATTCAACAGCCTTTCCAGCTTCTTTCTCTACTCCAATTCCATGTTCATAGCAATAGCCAAGATTGTGCTGTGCAGTAACATTTCCTTGTTCAACTGCTCGTTTGTATAATTCAATAGCCTTTTCAATATCTTTTTCTACTCCATATTGCTCTTGTTCATTTTTACTTACAACAGAATCAAGATTATGCCTTTGTCCTGTTCTTGGTAATAAAATTGTAGTGCTTGGGACATAATCTTTCTTTATTTGGCAATTGAGTGTATCATGACGCAATTTTCTTGGTAATAAATCATCAAATAGAAGAACCTTATCAAGGGACATATTGAAGAATCTAATGTGAGGTATACAATCTGCTATAATATCTTTCACTGTGTTGATTTCATGGGATGACCAATTATCTAGATCATGTCCAAGTTCTAGCTCAGGTACTTGTTTAGTGGCCCACTGCATAACTGACATCCAGATCTCGTCTTCTTCCATGCTGAGGTTATCAATTTTGAGAAGATCAATCAAGGTCTCCTTTGGTAAAATTGCAAAATCTTTTGATTTAAACACAATATCTGGGTGGGAAACCATAAGCCGATTGCAATAAGCCAAAAGCCTATTCAAAGGGGTGGTCGAAAGAGCATACTTATGAACTGTAATGATATTCTGTTGAATCCATCCTGTTTGTTTCTCAATCAAATAAGTTTCAATTGCAATGAGAAGATCAAGCAATTCAAGTTTAATAGCTCCATCTAGAAGACTAATCCAATCCACAAGTTTACATGAATCATAGGAAATTTTCCCAGTATAAATAAACCTGCACAAAGAAGCATTTAATTTAGGAGTATTCTATTATGTTGATATAGTAATAGGCATAAACACAAAATTTACCTAAGCAGAATTTCGAAAACGTCAGGTGCCAAATCCTCCAGTATCATAGCAGTCTTTTGAATCTCTTTAGTATTAGATGTCCCTGAATTTCCGGTTAAGCTATTCTCAAAGAATGAGCATTGTGCACACAGTATTAGTGTATGGGTAAAAAATATTTTGCAATTTGGCTCCCTTCCGACATGAATCGAAAGGTCAGCATATTTGCCGCTTTCGTAAATCTTCTCATAGGCTGATACAAGACGTGAGGACAAGTCAATTACGATATCCATTTTTTAAGAAAGATACTTCGATCTTTTAGATTAAGCGTTTTGACGTTGCGCAGAAAAAAAGTGTTCGGTAAGCGATTGGCCTATTATCATCCGATCTTACGTCGATCCACGTGTGACAGCGCGCAATTTAAACATCTCAATTCTGCGACGACAAGCATTGGTTTCGCTGTTATATTTCATTGCCATCTAACGAATAGTATAAAGTATGCTCTGTGATATGGTATATGCAAGATATTTTAGCAAATATTAACCACCGTCCTTCTGTTTCGTTCAGTTGCATACGTTCTTATGTTAACAGATGATATTGATATTAAATATGTTCTCAATATTATCATACTCAATATTAAAAAAACTATTCTTTCTTTACTACAAGGGTTTCATATTTACCCGATTTAGAGCCTTTATTATACAAGCGAGTATTGTTTATCGTTAATGATCTATTCCATGTCAAGAAGTATTCTTTCCAACTGTGAGCTAAAATTGTCAATGATAAAATTTTGGGATTTGTATTTGAATCACAAGTTTATAGTACTTGAAAGGGTTAACCGATGATGACCCGATAAACCCCGAATAATATACAGCAGTATAATAACTTGAAGACTGAGTAATTCCTTATATTGTCATACATTTGACGTTAATTTTGTATAGACATAGCAATAGTTTTCTTTAGACGTCAGTCATCCGCGATCGTTGCAGGTTGAGGATACATTCACATTGCAAAGATTTCAGGCATAAACCGGACAAATTTTTTGTCATATTATATGTTGTATTACTAATATATCAAAGAATCTTCGTCGGTGCTATGTGAGTGGGGAACTGGAGTGACAAAATGAAAACAAGCATTTGAATGGTGGCTGAGCAAGGGTATGTCCAAACACAATTTATGATAATGGAACTGGATTAACAATAGGAAGCAAATTGGTTCGTGTTATTAAAAAGAAATGTTATTGGCGTAAATAAAATGTCCAAAAAGTAACTGAACAAAATTAGAAGAGGTTTTTAGACAAATGATTATTTGTTTATATAGTTCCTGGACAGCGGTTATCACTCTTTCTAACACGTATTCCGAACACTTGCAATAAGAAACATTCCGACACAAACGAGCAACGACAAATATTTCGCAGCTGATGCTCGGGATCCGTTTTTCCGGAAGCATGTTAATTAATAAATATATTTAATATCATTATTAATAAATCTATACTCGAACCAAAGCCACACGCCTATTGTTAATTAGAACGGACGTTACACAGTGACTGTCATTTTATGTACCGATAAAGCATTGTGTAATATTCAATTTAGGTAATTCACATACCACGAGTCATAATATCCCTCTAAGCCTGAACTTTGAGTACTTTGTAATCTATAATCCGTCTGCTGACGGACCACTGTCAACTTATTCCAACTGCACAAGCCTACTGCTTCTTTGGCTAGAAAGTTGTTGACAAAGAAAGCAGCCCAGCAATCCTTGGTTTTGTGTGGGGATTATTCCTGATTTTTAGTGACTATTTAATTAAACATTGGCATTGCCACTACCATGGCTCCCACAGAAGGAAAGAGTCGTAAACCAGCTAGTAAGTACGAGTTTGTACTGAACGAGTACCCGTCCTCCTTGCAGTTACTGAACTCGTTTGTTCATTAGATACGGCGTTCAAGCAGCAACGTTTAAAGGCATGGCAACCGATCTTGACACCAAAGACAGTATTGCCCACCCTTTTCATAGTCGGGATTATATTCGCTCCTCTAGGTGGTTTGTTGCTGTATGCTAGTAACACCGTAAGTACTTTGATAAAGATTTAGTCGGCTCTTGCCAAGAACAATCTGTTAATCGACGTCGTCGGCAATGCATAATACTTCTGACAATCTTGTTTTGTAATTTTTCATATCAACTGGATTAAAAAGTAGTCATGTTGATTCAACCCCAATTTACTCATCGAAACTGATGCGTCTTACCCTTTATTGTTATTTTACGACAGGTCTCCGAAATCGAAATTGACTATACAGATTGCGCCGACCAACCAGCAGAATTTGGCCCAATGCCCTCCAACCTTGTTAAAATCTCGTTTGCCAGTAACAATGGCCAGTCAGATAGTCCGCAATGGCGTGCCACAGACGTCGCGTACAACGATATTCCAACGAAACGGTGTGAGATTAAATATAATATTCCAGCAGAGTTGAAAGGTCCCGTCTATATGTATTATCGATTGACCAACTTCTATCAGAACCATCGTCGCTATGTAAAGAGTTTTGATGCCAAGCAGCTCCAAGGTGACGCGGTGTCAGCGGCAACGTTGGAGGCTGGAAATTGTAAACCATTGGCGACGATAGATGGAAAGCCTATATATCCTTGTGGATTGATTGCGAATTCTATGTTCAACGGTATGAGCATGTCGATTATTTTTCTACAGCACAAACACTCTCTTAATGAATTGTTAACTAACGCTCTAATCTATAACCACCAATCATATTATAGACACTATATACGAACCTCGACTTATCAACGCAACCGGTCCAAACACTGAAACACCGATTAACTTCACTTCAGTTGGAATAGCATGGCCATCAGACCGTCAAAAGTATGGTCCAACAAAGTACAACGCGTCTGATGTAGTTCCTCCGCCAAATTGGCAAAACAGATTCCCTGGTGGTGCATATAATGAGACCAATATTCTTACCGTTACTGATGAGGCATTCCAAGTATGGATGCGTACGGCTGGGTTGCCTGATTTCAGAAAATTGTATGCAAAAACGGGCGAGTCTTTTGAAGCAGGACCATATCAAATCGATATTGACTTACGTAAGTAACAGTGAATACAACTGTTATTCCAACATCAAGCACTTGTACATATATTCATTGCATTTTTTTGATAGTATTCCCGGTCAAAGTTTACGGCGGTAGAAAATCGATTGTATTTTCTACAGTGTCATTCTTGGGAGGAAAGAATCCGTTCCTGGGCGTTGCGTATGTTGCAGTCGGTATTTTGTGTGTGATTCTTGGAAGCATATTTACGGCGAAACATTTACTCAAACCAAGGTAAGCAGAATGATAACAAATGGCTTATCTAATTATGCATACGTGTTACTGGATACTAATTTTCTCATGCTTTTTTTGTCTTGTTAGAAAACTTGGCGATCATACAAAATTATCATGGAATCAGAATTCGAAGAATTCAAAGGGAAGTGGGGGAGGACAATAAATACGATAATAATGTGGATAAGCCATAAAAAGCTACCTACAATTTTTCAAGTATGTAAAGCAGTTACCGCACGGAAGAGTTTTATGTCTTAACTTTATTAGAATTGATGCCAATGGTATATGCACTCTCGACGTAGGGGAGGCTGCTAAGGTCATTGGTTTTTTTCCCCTTTAGTGATTGTATCATATGTGTACTCACAATTAAAGTTTCAATAATATTAGATTACCGATCTTTTTTAATAACAAATCAGTCAATTGGTAGCATTGTCAATATCATGTGAGCGCAATATTTTCTGACTTCCTTTTTGTGCTTACCAATTACTCAGTTTGCTCTAATTATGAATGATGGATAATGCTGAATCGATCAGTTGCTATCTTTGTAAAACTTCGCCGGCGATTAATTAAATCTTATCAAGAAGAATTTGTCCTTCTTTTTCGGTTCATTCGCACGCAAACCGTGAATCAAACAGTATGCGGTAACCAAGTTACCTGGTACTATATGCATCGAACATACTATTACACAATGACTTGTACACCGCACTCTAGCCGACATTTACAAAAGATACTCGCATACTCGCGCAACATATTCATCCAATAGATTTTAACTCCCATTTCAGTTTTGTCTATATTTTGTATTTTCCAGGCTTAGGAAGTAACAAACGATTATATGTCAAATAAACTATATATATATGTATATATATATGTACGATGAAAATATATGATATTCGGATAAATCCCCTTTTACAATGAAACTCACCATTTTTAACCCAAACCATTGGACCAACTCTGAGAAAGTTTCTCTCTAGTTCTGCTCGCCATACCCATCCACTTCAACAATATCAACGTCATTATCTCCTTCCGATATATCATATCCGGTTCCCTCAATATCAATATCAAAATTTCCTATTCCATAATCATGATTGCTATTGTTATTGTTATTGTTATTGTTATTGTTATTGTTGTCAATATTATTGTTAATGTTAATGTTATTGTTGTCATCAATGTTACTGTTACTGATATTAGCGTCATCACTAACATCGTTCTCATCGTCGTTACTGTTATCGTTATCGTTATCGTCGTTATCGTTGTTATCGTTGTCGATATTGGCATTCCTTCCATCTGCGCCGATAGCGTTCACGCCCATTCGAGAGCTGTATCTGTTTCCCATTGTACTATCCAAAATGTTTAAATGATGTCGTAATTCTCTTACACCCTTTCCACTAAACACACAAAACATCTGCCTCTGATGCTGGGAATAGTCTTTCGGCGGAGGACGGCCGAATTGTTGTAAATCAGGACGCTGGAATGCTGGCACCCCAGTCAAAGATAAGTGAATCAGCCGAGGACATGCATTGATCAGTTCCAACACAGCACCGACCGAGATGTTAACGCAGTACGATAAATGGACTCGTTCCAGTCTACGATCCACCACTCGACTATCTATAAGTGCGTATATTGCTTGATCGGTAATATTACCGCATTTAACTAGTCCAATGCGACGTATTTCTGGGAGATGAGCCATGTCGAACACAGATACGTCAGTTAGCTGAGTACACCTTGCCAAATCAAGATACCTTAACCGAGTGCAGTGTCTTGTTAGGTGAGTGATTGAGTAATCAGTGATTCGCGAACAATGGCCGAGGTGAAGGTAATGTAAATATTTCCCAATATTAGCGATAGAGTAAACACCTTTATCAGTAATAAGACTACATTTTGCCAGTATGAGAACGCGCAACTTTGACGCGCTAGATGTTATCGTCTGGATTGATACGTCGGTGAGAAGATTGCAGTTGGTAAGGTCCAAAATGCGGAGTTGGTCGAAACAGCTAGGCATTGTCTTGGTGAATGCGTCATCCGTTAATTTTACACAGCCTCCTAGCCGTAATTCTCTCAGCTGATTGCAGTTCTCGAGGACAAGTTGAATAGACTTGTCGGTAATTTGATTACATTCGGTTAGATCCAATTCTAGCAGGTATGGACAATTCTCGGCAAGAACAATAATTGATTCGTCGGTGACATGAATACAACTGTTGAGTTTAATCTAAAATGGTATAGATGAATAACATAGGTTAATTAGCTTGACCAAATTTGACACTAAAGATCATATAACTACGCTCACTCGACGCATACCCCTCTTCAAACCCACTCTTTTCCATTTCCACTCCTCTTTCCGCTCTCCATTCCTCTTTCGACTTTCCACTCCTCTTTCCACTCGTCACTCTTTTTTCCATTCCATTTCCACTCTCCATTCCATTTCGCTCACTCACTCACTCGCCCATCAACTCACCCTTCTCAAGTTCCTGCAATTCGACGCCACAGCCCTAACACCTTTATCAGTAATTCTCTTACACAAACTCATATTCAACCCTTGCATTCGCCTGCAATGCTCACCCACCAATTCGGCCACGTTATCAGTCAACCCTTCGATATCAGCCACATCCAGCGCAACCAGATTCCTAGCCCTCTTTAACAGATTCTCTAATGCATTATCCGTCAACTTTTTGCAACCGCACAGCGTCAATCTCTCTAATCGCTCACACGAACTCAATCGTTGGAGAATCTGATCGGATATATTTTCACCAAGAAAGGAAAAGTTTAGTCGCCGTATGAGGAGAGAGTATTGAAAGGTTTGGCTAGGACGAGAAAGAGTGTATAAAAGTTTGATCAGAGAACCGTTTCCGGTGAATATCGGTTTATGCCAGAGGAGTTCTACTCCACAATGGCACCATGACTTGCACACGAAAATACACGATTTGAGGTCAGCGGGGGAGGTTATGAATTTAAAAATGTAGATAATGAGTTCTGAGGGAAGTGTTGCTGCTGAGACCAGCGAACGATATGGTATGAGCGGTTGATTATTGTTTGGCGAGTGAAGGGGATGGTTGTGATAGAGTACAGGCGAGTTGGTTGCTGATACCATATGTGGGGCTGTCAAAGTGGTTGTCGTTTTTAGGGTAGTCAAAGGGCGAGAGGGTGGTTGGTGGGTGGTGGTTAGGTGGTGGTTAATGGTAATGATAGTGAAGGAGTAGGAGGTGCAGCAACAGCAACAGGTTATTATTATTGTCGAGCGTTGTCTGTCTGCTTTTTTGATGTATTTTTTTTGTTTGCGATAATATTAAATCTGCAATTGGATTCTATTGATGCTGGCGGTTTTTTGATATTGTTAAAGTGTCAAGAGGATCATGTGAGTCCAGCTGATGATGATTCTCGGATTGTTGGGGTGAAAAAAGTTTTGACAGCTTTGGTTTTTGATGCTGAGTATATTTTGTATAATATGTGTGTAAAATATAAAGCCAAATTATGGTTTTCGTAATTTCTTTATTATATTTATTTACTTTGTATAATTAATTATTTTTTTAATACACGTCGTAATTGGATGAGATGATATTGGGTATTTTATTTTTTCGTTTTCTCTTTTTCTCTTTTTTTCTTTTTTTTTTTTTGACAAGTTATTCTATCGGATGACTAAGGCTTCATCCGGAATAAAAGGGAAAAGATGAACTGCATTTGGATTTGAGGGCGGCATACTAGAGTATTTATATTAATATTGTAAGTGTTGCACATATAAATGACGCACAATGTCCTTCTGCCTTACGCTTATGAATGCATAAGCAATGCGTCAATCACTTTACCTATTATCGTGACCCAATTTGTTATCTTTAAGAACACTTTTCAGACCACTGTTCATTGTTTACGACGTTTCAGTCATGAACGGAGCTAATGTTTAATAAATAATGTTGAGTGGGCGGGATATGTGGCGTGCGAACAATATCTGCTAACCTAAAAAACAATCGCTTTGATGCATTTTGATGCAAGGGAACAAGTCATCTGGGTAACAATCGTCTAAACAATGATGACTCAAAAATATCCAGCAACGTATGAATGAAATGAAAAAGAAAGACGACCCAACACATCTTGGGGCTCTCCTTAACGGGGGGAAAGACTTATCTTTAGTGAAACTCTAATTATTTACAGAACAATAATTACGTCATTAGGTAGTCCAATTATCTCGTATCTACATATTGCACAAAAAGTCGCATACATAGCCTATATGCCTCTTTCATTTACTTACAGTCTAACCCATTACTAACACTGGAACGCTATACTCCTTACAAGTCTGCATCGCTACCTCATGCACAGGCAATGTACGAGTAACAATCGCCTCAAAATCATACTTTTTTGACATTATCATCTGTAGAGCGAATGGGTAACAAACTAGTTTTCTGTGTTACCTAAAATATTCAGAGTCGCCGGCCTTCGAAATCTCTTCATTTACTATGGTCGGACAGCCACGCCTAGCGGTGTTTGTGTCACTACATTAATTCAATGGCGTCAGGTCGTAGGCTCGTCCAAGCCATCCTTACGTACAATCATAATGTGCGCTCAAATGCGACCGGTCCCTCGCTTGATCAAGTCGCCAATCTGATACGACTCATTTTGAATACATTTAACCCCAAACGATTTACCGCCTCTAATTTGGAGCATCCCGAGTCGACTGCGATGGTTTGTTTCACTCCTAAATACGATGCAGATAATACAGCAGATTGTCCGCATGCATCGCATCCCAGAACTACAACAATGGATCATCACATTCCATACCTAAATACTCTAGTTCTTGCTTCACCCAGTTGTAGCCAAGTGTGAGCAGAAATTTAGTGCGCTAGCTTGTCGAATTCCCATGAGCCATCAGAATACGAATATATTCTACCGGGCATAGTTCTAGATTGTTGAAAAGAAACGAAAATAGTGAGACACTATCAATGTGCTAATATTTACTACTTGCGCACGTGATATTATGAATCTATGCAGTCATCTTACCGAGACAGGTTGAACCTCTTGACGTTCGGGTCCTTCGTTATAGACTCGGCCAACCATTTGAAAGCGGGGTGCTTTCGACCGACCTACTATTAAAATAGAACTTGACCAATACAATTTATAATCGTGTAATTATCTCTATAAATAGGCACAACAGTTATAAAGCAGGCTCGAGTAGCTGAGATTTAGCGCGCTCAAATTCCCATGTCTGCAGTCAGTCATTCTCTCTCATGCAATTCCTCGTATATAAAAGTTCGGCATATTACGTCTTCAACCTCCTTCTCTCCTTAGTCTTGATATAGAAAGCGATTGCTCTTGCATCGATGGACAGTCCTTGAGGCCTTCATGATTCCGGTGAAAAGACGCCTCTAGTTCACAGATGAATTTTCTTTACGTCGTCTATTCGTCTGTTCTGCTCTTCATGTTCATGTTGATAATGATTTGTAAGGTTTTCCGTATTCACTCTTCGCAGCATTCGTCGATATCTCCGTCGAGTGTTAATTAAATGCCGATTCGACCTCGTCACGTCAATATAGGTAATTTGTATTTGAGGGAAGGCATGAACTATATGTATGTTTCTGGATATTGAAAAATGGACAAAGGGCCGGGCGGTAGGCCTGATCTGGATGACAGAGGGGAAAGAATGACAACTTTAGTTTGTTAGAGGTACCATCTGGTATGACGATAACTCCCAACATCCATGGCATTTGAAATGTCTTACCTTAAAGTCTTCTGCATACTCTAAACGTCTAATAAACAGTTGGAAATACTTTCGACTGCAAACTAGCATCCTACTTCCAGTAATGTCATATTAACATAAACATCCATTCCATCGGGAGGTGTTATAATGTAGACATAATGAAATTCTTGATAATTTTCCCACATCTTGCGTTGTCGTAGACTCTCTAGTAGAGAAACTGGGCTGTGGCGTCGGCACAGACGGCTAGAGTGAATATAGGCCGATAGGTCGGAGGTGTTCACATATCTTGGCAAAATTTCAGGGGAAATGGATAGAGCCGCCAGATTCATGGATGCGTCCATCTCTTCAGAACAACGTTTATGACGTCTTTTTTTGGATGGCATTCTCTGAGCAACGCGTATTTTTCGAGGAAATCCTGTAGTTATAATGATATTGTCCCGATTAGCAAGAGCAAGACGTATACGCATGACAACCGAACAAAACGACAGCCACACACCACAAGAGAGATAAACCATAACGAACAACTTGCCTTTAATTGCTTGTTGCTTCTCCTGAAAGTAAAAACTACTTGTATTAGACTAGGATATACGTGCACTTATAAGAGAGGAGCTGTTGTGATCGCGTGTGAAAATCATAGCATCCACGATTCGGTCAAAGGTCAAAGAAGCAGTGGTTGTTGAGGAAGTGTAATAATAGTATTAATAGTAGGGCCGATTGCCGATGTATATAGGCATTTCAGATAAAGCAGACTACGGGTATTTGACAACTCATTGCTATTTAAAGTAGCAGAATCACTTTTCCCTGTTTCTTAGCAGTTCGATTGCTATTATCCTTCCGTATTGTCCTCAGCTTGCGTTTATTAGATCATTCTTTAATGTGATCCTACAGTCTTCGTCCAAAACTAGGTGACGTGGAAATGATAATTTAGTCTCTTCCTTTGGCGCGTTATTATTATAGTACTTGGCCCAGTGAGTCAGTCGTATATGGTCCGTCCCTCAATGATAAAATTAACCAACATTCAACGAAAAAGAAATGTAGCCTCGGCAAACGCACGCCGTATGGAGATTCTGTTTCTTAGGCACGTCTTTAATGTATTAGGATGGATTAGCGTGGCTAGGACGTTTTACAGATTGTTGCTGGGAAGATTTACGGTGCCATTGTTAAGCGTCGAAGTGGACCACATATTCACGATAATATTTGCCATTGCTTAAATCACGTGATATATAATTCGTCAGCTTTTTCAGATATCGTTGATACATTTCGTGCGTGATTTGCTCTCCTCCACCGATAGTCAACGATGGTAGAGTAATCATTCATTATCAGATCAATCGCAATACATTACTTCAGTGACTAAGTCGACTAATGGTGTTGTTTGATAGGGTGGAACAAGAAAGTTCCCATATCCTAAGGACGTTTGGTATGTAGCAAGCAAGGGTATTCGGTTTGCGTATCTATTGAAAAGCTGTAACAATTACTGATTTGTGCTCATTTAATAGGTCTCCGGGTAGGCAACGAAGATGGAGATTGATTAGCATATTTGTAGTTTGGTTGACGGGCTGATTTATAACACAACTTACACATCTCCCCTGTTCTCATTTGAATCTAGTTTAATAGCCTACATATCAATCGCTTGTTATTCTAATTTTATTTCTTTACTTACTTGTGAACTCTCGTAGCGGGTGGCTGGTGGCCGAACCCATATAAATGGAAAAGTAATACTTTAATTGTTGCGGGTGGATTGGTTGTCTTTGCTGCCGTAACGTGGAAAATATCAGCTGACAGAGAGGTAAGTTTTGATCGAAAGTAAACGTGAATAGGCATTGAGTCATAAAATGGGGTTGATGTCCGTTAGGAACCGTCATTCTCACTTTACTAATCTTGCTTGTTCAACAGTGGAGACATAGTCCTCCGAACAGATGGATTCCATCAATGTTGGTAAGAAACAAGACCATTGTAATTGAATCGGACTTTAATGACAATCTTCTGACGATGAAAATTACTTTTTTATTTTGCCAACAGTGGTCTAAACAATTCAAAGAAGGAGAGTATAAAGATCTGAAATTTTCTGAAGATGAATAAACAATGACAATGGCATGTTGAAGCCATCTTGTATCTATTAATCACGCTTTCTGGTAACTATCCTATTGATTAAATAGTTCAGCCGTACTTTAAGTTATGATGTTGATTACTTATCCATTTAATAGATTGTGGAGTATGTCAAGATTGTTGTAAGGGTTTAGTTGTAGTCGAATTAATGAAATAATATCTGAACTGTCTGATATGCAGATAAAATGTTTCTTTCTCTAATGTAGTGAATGGTCATTGTGCCAAACTAAAACTCCAATTCAATATCATTAATGAAATGTTACTCTCTTATTATTATTATTGTAATGATGCGGACAATTTGTGATGTCATAAAAACTTAGTAGCACGAATGCCAGTGTGTTCGTTAAGCCACGGATAATAATAACCTGCCCCAGCATCGCCTCCCCCAAGGTTACAGAGTAATGGTATGGGGGTTTGGGGCAATCTAAAATCTATGTGTTACCACAATAATTTCATAGTTTGCCCCAAAAAATTACGCTCAAATGTTGACTCGGACAATAAACCCTCCTTCACTATAAATCTCATCCTTCTGGCCTTTACTTTAAATTATTATTATTCATCATCTCTTCTTCCTCTTACTATACAGTCAACGCTATTTATTATTATACCGGACATGTATTGTATATACGGGAACCTCTTTACTATTACTGATTTTTATTTTTGTGCACCGTTTGTTTCATATTAATATGGAAATTCTTTGTTTATATTGGAATTTTTTATAAACTCTTCACATACCAGTTTCAGAAATTTTGAGAATTATCTGGTGCAAATTATTAATTAAAATTTTTCTTTATACTGGAAAAAGCACGTAATGACTTCTTTCTTTCTGTCACTTTCATGAATACCTGTTTTGTAAAATGACGAAAGATCAATTTTTATCTGATAAATCAAAACAAATCAGAGTTTTCTTAACGTCTTTGCAAAACGAGAGACATGTGTTATTACGACTCACGCTAGCAGACCGTGCAACACGATCTAAGTGTAAAATTAGTATCTTAGTGATTTACTTAGATTGAATAAATGCAATTCAGGATGACTCTATAAGATACAAAAATTAATGAAGTCAAAGTCTTAAATAAAAGACTTTAGATAAATGTGTGTTTGATATTAAGTCGCATTATATATATTAAACAGAATTGTTTTATATAAATAGACGCGCACTTCAATCATCGACAATCCACAATCTATCTCTGCACGTAAAGGTAACCTTATTCCTATGAAACCTTTTCATTAATATTAAGTTAAATTTCTTAATATTAACGGTTTTAAAGAATAAAAAGGCAAGTTTTCAATAAATAGTCTCGCACAGCCTGCCGCGTTTTTAAATGGCTGTTCACGTTTCGACACAACCGCCAGTTTTTTGTACAGTTCACGTGGTATTGATAGTCAATTTCTCAACACTGGCAAGAAAAGAAGAGATAAAAAAGAAAAACAAATTAAAGAAAAAAAAATACTTGAACGTTTAATACAGTGGCTTCAACGGACTGATTCCAGCAACATGCTATTAGGAAAAGCTTTTAACCAGATTAGTACAATATACATTCAAGGTTGATACAAGGTTATGGAAATTTAATGAGTCTCAGCTAAGAACCCTTTAATATTAAATGAACACATACTAATACCAGCCATTGTATTGTCACACACGAGGTAAATCATAATGTCAAAAATAATAAGTCAGGTCAATAAATTGCCGAACATAAATCGATAAAGTCCGCTGGTAGATTGTTCGTAGAAACGCATTAGTTCATTTAATTAAATCACTTGTTTTGATCTGCTTTATGCAAGTAATTTGGTAAGATTACAAGTTTCATTCAGCATTCAATAAATTATAAATATTAATATAGTGCCCGTGACTGTGTTACTACTTCGTAATGTGTTCATAACCAGTAAGTAATCTTTCGTATATTAATATAGAAATGGACTACCTCGCTAAAATTAATTGTAATGAGGTTGTTATAAATTGATCAGGCTTTCTACAAGGTTATGTCAGTCATGTGATACATTCTGAATACAGTGAACCCTCCATAAATGCACCCTCCATAAATGCACACCCTCCATATTTTGCACTGCACGGTTTTTTCTAAATGCACACCCGTGACTTTTATGTGATATAAGTAGTGTTACGCTAAGAAATTACACAAAATTTGTACCCACGATTATAGACGAAGATCATATAAAGAAATTTCTGTGCGCACGATTATAGACAAAAACCGAATAAAGACATTTCTGTACGCAAAGACCAAATAAAGAAATTCTGTACCCACGATTATAAAATAATCAGTATTAACGAGTCTTCAAAAATTTTCTACAACAGGATAATGCTGAGTAATTGTTCAAACACGTCAAAGCTCTTGACAAATACATTAATGTAAAAAAGATAACCGCGCAATGAAACAGACAGGATCAAATTTTTAATAATAAATAACCAATGATTTTATTATTTTTTAATTTCACGTGCATCCAATCAAATTCTTACCTTCTCTAAATACACACCCTCCATAAATGCATGCTTTCCTCCATTCCCGAGGGCGTGCATTTATGGAGGGTTTACTGTAGTTATGACAACCTCAGATAGATACTTGCTAAAAGCTTATGCACAATGTTGTCACAAACTTGGTAACTTTAATTTGCCAAGCTTTCTGCAAGAGTGTGTCAATTATATTAATATCAGAATAGTTAATATTAATGCAATCTGGTTACAATTACTCTAAACCTTGCAACAGCCTCATCTCAAGGTTAAAAAATAATTATAATCATACAGCAAGCTAGTTACAATAATTGTTCAATACTAATACTATTATTGTATATTGTTTATTTCATTACTATTAATATTTAGATATACGGATTGGTATTTGTTTATTTATTTAAAATGCAGTCTCTTATTACTGTACATATACATATAGAATCAACAATCAATATCAAATTCAACATATTGATCACTTTTATTTCCTCGTCTCACTAGGATACTCCCATATTAATATGTAGCAAGGCCCAGCAGATTCCTTGCACACTGTATTGTAATAGATGCAACATTATCATTAACATCTATAATATACTGGGAGGCACATCAGTACCTACACTATATAATGATAACAAATTTTAGTAATATGCATATAAAATACCATTTCCGTTCTCTGTTTGATACTTACTTCTCTGGAAGTTTGCAAACCTCCTACTCTTATTGCAATCTGCTGAGCCGTTTTACAATGCCTGGATGAGTTTCTGCCTTGCATTTCGGGACATTGAGGCTGTACTATATTTACGTTTGCCTACATTATTTTCTTGCAATGGAAACTCAAAAATATTAAGTTTGACTTGTAAACCTATATAGTACTAGTCTGAATTACAAATCTAAGTACGTCGTTCTCCGCTGTGGTAAATTGTGCCCGTCGTTGCTTAATCTTCATTGTATGTATGTATGTATGGATGGAATGTATTAACACAAACCCCTCTTCTTGGTAGAACGCATACGGAATCTGCAATATTATTATTTGTATATACATTAATATAATGATAATGAGTAATAGACACCTTTGTAAATAAATTTTAAAACACTTACCGTAACATTGAGCACGTAGCAAACACACAGTGACAAATAATAGCCCAGCCCACAAGCAACAGGATGAATAAAACTTCAGCGTCCGCCCGCTCAGTCCAGGGACTTTCGTTCGCGTCCGCACCCGTACCTTCACCTTACAGTCTTCTCGTATCGTGGTGGTTATCTATGAAATATAATGAGGGTATACCGCTATGGCGGCGGCGGCGGCTACTTTTTTTCGTTTGTGGCGGTGACGGCGGTTAATATTCGCGGCTCTGTTGTGTATTCTCTCTCTTTTGCCACCATACCTTTATCGGTTTTTTATAATGTGTATGAAGAACTGAGGAAATAGTAAGCGGCTTGCTGTAGCGGCCTCGATAGTAAAGCCTCCTTCAAAATGATAAGATCCAGATGATGCCAATTTTTTTTTTTTTTTTTTTGGTTTTTGGTAAGGAATAAAGTGTAAGATATATAGCTTGGATGCTAAAACGGTTAGGGTTTGTAGTAAAGCTATTGAGTGTGTGTGCGTATGGATGCTGCTCAAGCAATGGCGGATGGTAACGGATGATAAAGATTATCTATCTGTAAACAAATTACTGTTGTGACGCGCTAGAATAATAATAATAACAACGCGTGTTTCCGAAATAAGCACATTGTAATTGCCCAAATATATCACACCAATAAGGCACAATTTATCATCACGTGCGACAAAGGATAGATGAAGAACGGAAGGATAATAATAAAGTGAAAAAAATGTAATAAACACGGCCCTCAAGCTGGGTGGCCGGGCGTAGAGGCATAAATAGCAAGACCATGTCATAAACGGTAAGTTCATGCAGCAGATGATCGTGGAATGTACTTTATGTTACGGTGTCTAATTTGATAGCATTCTCAGATCATATTGGTGGCAGTGTTGATTACGTAATTTCTCGGTTTATCTAAACATGCCAGAGTTATACAGTATCTCTATCTACTCAATAAGAATCTGCATAGTCTGTCAAGACGTTCGGCCTATAACTGATCGAGTCCTCTCGGCCAACCATTTGAAGGTTTTCGAAAGTGATTGAGTTATTGGCTATCGTATTTCCAAGCGCGATTATATTTACTTGCTAATCCAATTTACTACGCTTTGAAGAACTAAGTTTCCCGTTCACAATGAAGACTTTTGCCGACTTTCTACGAACAATGCGGCTGATGCGTATTACGTGCGTAATAACAAACAATTTGACGAGCCGTTAGTTGCACGTATTTATCTGTATTAATAAACAGTTATCCAGAAACTCATGGTAGTAAAGAGTACCATCAACGGAGACGGTTCATGGAATCTGTGCTGACAGTGCTCTGTTCCGTTCCATCTACAATGGTATGACCGACCGACGAACGGAACTTTCAACAGACTTTTTCCAGGATGTTATGATAAGCTGCTTGCAGAGAC